CTCTCCTAAAATATATATATATATATATATATATATATATATATATATATATATATACACCCCTCACAGATTGAGTGATGAGAAATATATTGATGCCTCATAAGGTGTGTGACAGTGTCAGAGCCACCTGTAGATAGACAAAACATGTTTCTCTCGTGGGCCTTTGCACCAAAGAGTGGAAAATACTGACTTGAAATTCAGGCCTCAGTCGTTGGTGCAGGTTGGGTGTTAGGCTCTCAACCTCATACAATTCTGTTAGCTGTATCAATGAGTATAACACAAGTAAAACGGATCAGCTGAAGGTGTTAAAATGTTTATTATTCAATAATTGAAAAAAAAAAGATTTACCGATGTTTATTCTATATGTGTGAGTGTTGGTCTGCACAATTGCATAGTACCATGTGTGTGCCAGGTAGAGAATCCCCTGGAACTAGTTTTGCACAGCTGTGATCCACCATGTGGCTACATACAGAACCCAGATCCTCTGTAAGAGGAGCAAGTGTATTTACTCACTGAGCCATCCCTCCAGCCCCTAAATCAAAGTACTTTTGTTCTTTTTTTTAATAGATTAGTTTGGAATCAGAAATGTGTTATTAGATTTTTAGAAAAAAAATCGACCATTTGCTAGTTTCAAGGCCCAGATCTAGTGACCTACATTGGTCTTGCATTGCTTGATAACACTTTGGTTAATTATATTTTAACTAACTGCTCCCCTCTGTGTTTGGGCCATCCTTTTCCCGGATAAATGATAAATGATTAATGAATTCCCAGGGGAAAGAATATTTCTTAAATCAAATTTCTTCTACTTGTAGGTTTGTTTGTAGAGAAAACAGTAGATGTGTCATGTAAGCCAAAATATGACTCAGGAGGCACAGGTTTGTTTGTGAGAGCAGTAATCCACCAAGTTCCCTACCACCCAGCTGTGTTCTGACTTGACTTGACATGTGCTATGAACCGTCTACCCCTGTTCTGGTGACTCCTTCCGAGTACTGTTTACTCTACTCAGCCTCACTCCAAAAAGTGTCTGCTGAACTGGACTCACAGAACCAGTTTATCAATGACACCCTGTCCTGGTGACCTGGCCTAAAAGCCTGGTAAGAGCCACCGACTTGGAGCATCTTCTTCGTGCTAAGATGCCACCCTGCAGCTCGGTTCTTTCTACTGGTGTGTCCTGTCATTTAGGATGAGCCTGCAAGGTACATCTGAACTTAAGCATGAGAAGTGTCACAAGAGGGCTATTTGACCTAGCCACACACACACACAACCCCCCCGCCCACGGTGCCAGAACAGGGATTTAACCCGGGGATACAAATCTGTTACCCGCTGTCTGCGTACTTCACCATGGTTCTGCACTTGGTCACAAAACATTCCTTTTTTCTTTTTCTTTTTTTAGTGGAATTTTTTTTCTTTTATTGAAAATAGATGTTTTTCTGCTCACACAGTAATATCTTGATTATGCTTTCCCCTCCCTCTACTCCTCCCAGTTCCTCCCCATCTCTCATCCCATATCCACATTCACTCCCTTTCTGTCTCTCATTAGAAAACAAACTGGCTTCTAAAGGATAATAGTGAAAACAAAATATAATAAGATAAAAACAAAAAAAAATCAATGGGCTGGAGAGATGGCTCAGCAGTTCAGAGCACTGGCTGCTCTTCCAGAGGACCCGAATTCGAGTCTCAGCACCCATATGGCAGCTCATGCCTGTCTGTAACTCCAGTTACAGGGTTTCTGACACCATCACACAGATGTACATGCAGATAAAATACCAGTAAACATAAAATAAAAATAAATGTTTTTTTAAAAAATCAACAAATGGACAAAACAAACAAACAGAAGGAAAAGAGCTCAAGAGAAGGCACAAGAATCAGAGACCCCTGCATTTGCACACTCAGGACTCCCATAAAAACACTAAACTGGAAGCCATGATATACACAGAGAACCTGGTGTGTGTGTATATGTCTCTCTCTCTGTGTATGTATATATGTATGTATGTATATATGTGTTGTGTATGTACACACACGTGTATATCCATGTGTGTGAGTGTGTGTGCTTCTGCCCATGCGCAAACATCAGAAGAGGACATCAGATATCTATCTTTATCATTCTCCAACTATTCCTTTGAAAGTCTCTCCCAGAACCTCATGCTCCTGTTTTCTAGGCTAGGCTGGAAACCAGCATGACTCAGGGGGTCTTCCTGTCACCACCCTGCTCAGAGCTGGGGTTACAGGTGTGTATGGGATGCTTGGCGTGTTACATGGGTGCTGTGCTGGGATTTGAACTCTGGTGCTCCTTATCACACAACAAACCCTGATAACCGCTGAGTCTTCTCTCCAGCTCCAAGAAGCACTTCTTAATCTAAAATGAGACAAAGAGGCAAAAGTTATTTGTTGATTGAATAGGGTTTTTGTAATGTTTGTAGGTTTAAAAAATATGTATATATACATAAATAAGATTTCAGGAATGTACACTTAATATATCATTCTAAAACCTATATTTTTATGTATATATGTATCTATCTATCTATCTATCTATCTATCTATCTATCTATCTAATCTTCCTTCTACCTATCTTCTTTCTTTTTATATATCTCCTCCATATCTTATTGTCTGGTTAAATCTGGCTACATAATTTTCAATTGTCTTCTTTCTCAAACTTAAGTTTAAATTACTTTATGGTTATTTTTTGTTCATTACAACTTTAGATGGAAGTCGTTCTCAATGCTGACTTCACCGTCTGAGTTCAATAGGTCTTGAGAATTTGAACCCTCTCAGTGGGCTGGTTGAAGACGCATGCATTGGGTCTAAGGAAATTTGAATCACTTCTGACAACAGAGCGCCTCTCCTTCTAACACACGACCCACTTACTGATCATAGCCACATTCATAGCCTAACTCACCAGAATTGGATTTCCTCAAGTTAAGGAGAAAGAAAATGCCCCGTTGGCATACAGAAAACAAATCTAACATCACAGTTAAGAAAAAAATCCAGGCAGAGCAACAAAGTTGTCAGAATATCTGCTTTGTGAATGAAAATAATCAGAAAGAGTCAAAGGAAAGGGAAAGGGAACGATGTGCTTTCAGTCTCAATAGTTAACTCAAAGGCAGAGCAGTGTGTGTGTGTGTGTGTGTGTGTGTGTGTGTGTGTGTGTGTGTGTGTGTGTGTCCGTCCTGGGATGATGGCTCAGAGGTTAGGAACACTTCCCTCTCTTACAGAGGACCCAGGTTTGGTTTCCACCAT